TTATGGTGTTGGAGGAAAATATTGAAAGTGCCATGGGCTGCCAAAAGAACCAATAGATCCATTTTGGAAGAAGTGCAGCCAGAGTGCTCCTTGGAAGCCAAGATAGCCAAACTTCATCTCTCATACTTCAGACATATTGTCAGGAGGGACCAGTCATTGGAGAAGGATATCATGTTTGGTAAGGTGGAGCGTCAGAGAAAAAGAGGTAGACTCCCGATGAAATGGATTGGCCAAGTGGCAGCATCGATGGACTCAAGCATGGCAACAGTAGTGAGGTTGGCCCAGGATCCAGGATAGGGCAGAGTTTCATTCTGCTGTGCATAAGGTCGCTATGGGTCAGTACTGACTCGATAGCACCTAACAACAGTAACAACAAAGCTTTTCAGGAACAGAAATCTCCACTGAGTATCTAATCTGTCTGGATGGGGCTGATGAAAGGAGACGGGGATAGCACTCATGTGGCACAATAGTGAATAATTGTTATCAGGACTGACTGTGAGGATTGGAAATGTAAAGGTAGATGTTTTGTAGCAAAAGGAGGGTAGTGGTTGACTTTGCAAGCCAGGAGCGGAGGTCCCTGGGACCACCAAGGGAGAAGAGCAGAGTGCAGGACCCTACTCAGAGAAACAGTGACTCCAGAGATGGAGGCAGAGACAATGACGTGGAGAGATGGAGTGGCTGGGGACTCTAGATTCAAAGAGGAAGAGGGGCTGTGTGCTGATGACCGAGGGACAGGCTTGTAGGATATACCCTTTGGTTGTTTGATGATGCATGGAGGGGACTGTAATCATGGCAATGAAATGATGTATGATAGGATGAATGTAAAGCTAATGCTCTCCCATGTAAACTATCACATAATTCACAATAAAACATTTTTTAAAAACAAAACAAAAAAAAATTGATGGTCTGCCCTGTAAACTTTCACTCAATTCATAATAAAAACTTAAAAAATATATGATATGCAGATGACATTAATCTTGCTTGCTGGAAGAAAGAGGAAGTACTTTCTTATGAAGATCAAAGACTAGAGCCTTCAATATGGTTTGCACCTTAAAGAAAATGAAAATCTTCACAACCAGACCAATATATAATATGAGAGAGGAAAGACTGATTTTGCTAAAGAATTCATTATGCTTATATACCCAATCAATTTTCATGGAAGCTGCAGTCAAGAAATCAAAGGGCATATTGCATTAGGCAAATCTTCTGTTAAAGACCTCTTTAAAGTGTTAATAACCAAAGATGTCACTTTGAGGATTAAGGTGTGCTATTTTCTATCACTTCATATGCATGGGAACGGTAGACAATGAATAAGGAAGATGAAAAAAGAATCGATGCATGTGAATTATGGTATTGGCGAAGAGTATCACGGACTGCCTGAACATGAACAAATGTGTTTTGGAGAAAGTACAGCTGAATTGTTCCACAGAAGCAACAATGATGAGACTTCATTTCTCATACTTTGGACACGTTGTCAGGAAGACCCCAGAGAAGGACATCATGCTTGGAAAAGTGAAAGGTTCGTGAAAATGAGGAAGATTGCTAATGAGATGGACGGACACTGTGGCAGCAATAATGGGCTCAAAGTTAACGGCTGTGACGGAATAGGACCACGTGGTATTTTGTTCTGTTGTACATAGTACATGCTGTCGCTATGAGTAGGAGCCGACAGGATGCCAGGCACCTAACAACAGAACTTGGTAATTCTGCGTTTTAACTCTGAGGAACTTCTCAACTATTTCTACAGCTTGTGAACCATTTTACATTCCCTCTAGCATTTCACTGAACACAAGGTCACTTTGAACCACAAGGTCAGCACAAACTCACCAGCCGCTCCTCAGAAACCCTATAGAAGGTTGCTATGTGTTGGAACCAACTCAGTAGCACTTCACAGCAACAACAACCAGCAATTCCCAAGGGTCCCAATTTCTCTACATCCTTGCTAACACTTGTTAATTTCTGTTTTCATTGATCAAGGCTATCCTAATAGATGTGGAGTGATATTGTGGTTTTGACTTTCATTTAGTGGCACCTAACAACAGTGAAGATTACTAATGACCTATCTTTTCATGTGCTTATTGGCCAATTTTGGGTTTATCAGGCCCTGCAACCACAGGAGTCAGGAGAATTCTCCAGCCTGATGCATGAGAAGCCTCTCACAGTTCTTACTCCACATTACACACTGTATAAAAGTTATCACTTTCGTTATCTTTTTGATAAAAGTTATCGTATAAATGTCTTATCATTTCCCTTTCTAGGTTAAGGAAGGTGTCTCATTTACATTTCACCTACCAAAAGCCCCAAATTCAGGCAGTACGACTGTGTATGTGTCTGCTGGAGTAGGGGTGGATGTGGGGAAGCCATGCCAAGAATGTTGGAATGAACGCCTAGGGAATGTCCTAATCCTAATGTGGAAGAGAAGGGTGTTACGAAAAAAGGGTGTGGCAGAATGGCAGGCCCAGACAGAGACTTGGCAAGAGAGAAGACTCCAATCTTGAGATGCTGTGCACAGATGAGTAATATTGCCAGTAAACAGAAAATAAAACAAGTGACTGATGAAGCTCCAAACTGAGTTTATTGTGCTAGAGACCAGGTGATAAAATATAATGTCAATACATTCAGGTTGCGTCTTAAAAAGTCCAGAACATCTCATTATAAAACTGGAGCAAAAAAATTTTCTAGGAACAGAAGTCCCCAAACAAAAACGGGAAAATGAGCTCCCTCTCTTGAAAAAGCCAGGAAATAGAACAGTGTGCCAACTCTCACTATCACCCCATGCTCACTGACACCTCTCCATTCTTTTCTACAAATTGCTGGATAAGAAAAATACTTTCTTCCAGAATAAGGTAATTACTTGTCTTCTCATTCTTCTCCTCTAGTAGAAGATAGTGTCAGATGGTCCGTCAAGAATTACAACTTCTTCACAAAGGAAAACTGTTAGGAACTCTAGTTTCTAGAAAGACTGATACCAGGGTCTCTGGTCACCCATTAAATCCAGAAGCTAGTGTGGTTTAACCTCATAGGTGCTGCCAATCAGCTTAGAATCTTTATGAGGACAATATATAAGGCATAGAATATATTGCATTTTAAAGCTGGCAACAACATGGCATTAGGATAGTAATTTCATCACATCTCCCCACTTGCCAGACATTCAGTCACGATCTGGCTCAGCTATTTAAACCCTGCCATCTACTTTCTCTTCCAGTTGTCTCTGATCCAGTTGGCAGAAGCCGCCGAGAAACATGATATAGTAGGCATTGCAGTATACTGGCTGCTTGTTTGGGTTGGAATAGACTTGTTCGGGTTTAAGGGATGTGAAAGGGTTAGCTCCATAGGCAGTGATGTGTGTATCCAGGTCCACCAGAATCTGCAGAGAGGCTGCCAACTCCTGATGGCTATAGGAGAGATAGAAGAGAAATTGCTCTGCTGATTATAAGAAAGATAGGAGGGAAACTGCCTGGTTTTCTCTCATCAGTTCACGAGTTTGCCTAAAGCTGGACTAGGTAAGAGCTCACTCTCCTTCCCAACTGTTTCATTAAATCCCTTATTATCTAGCACAGGACTTTGTTCCAGGAGGATAAGCAAGTCGAGTGGGATGGAGGGGAATTCTCACCAGAAAGTAGATGAACAAGGGGAAAGAAATAAACTCATCTCTATAAAGGGAGAAAGGAGCTCTGGTAGCGTAGTGGTTACGAATTGGGCCGCTAACCTCAGGGTCAGCAATTTGAAACTACCAGCCGTTCAGCGGGAGAAAGATGAGGATTTCTGCTCCCATAAAGATTTACAGCCTTGGAAACCCTGTACAGAGTCGCTATGAGTCGTAACCGACTCCACGGCACATAACAACAACAACAACAACATAAAGGGAGAGGTGAGTCAAGGAGGCATCATAAATAGGAAGAGGTCAACACCTGTACACAGTTAACAGTGTTGGGATCTTATAATCACGAAGCAGCAGTAAGGTGGGCAGCCAAGCCTCCATCAAGTCTGGAGAGGAATGGAAACCTATGAAACAAAAATGGAAATGGGAACAGGGAGGGGAAAAGGTTGAAGTAGATCCTAGGCAAGAGACTTCTTGCTCACTCCCAATATTCATCATTGCTCACTCCCAATCTTCATCTTGCTCACTCCCAATATTCATCATTGCCACCATCACCCACCCCAGACTTCAGTGCACAATTCTGAACTGTAGTAGTACATATGGCTAATGGTCAATCAAGGTCCTCATCCTATTGTGTTTAACCAGACCAAATTAATGAAGTCCCAAAGACAGAAGATACAAGGTCAAGATTCCTAGGGGAGTCTCCCAATATTCCCCTGAACCTGTGAGTCTTACCTGGATGGAATCCCACCACCAAATCTGGATGGGCTGTCTGTCCAGTCTCTACCTGCTCTTCCCAGAAGTCATGATAGAGACCTCTGTGGCTGCTAAGCTGAACTGTGCCAGGTTCCAGGGGGGAAGATGAAGTGCTCTGTGAAAAGCCAGTAGCCACGTCTACACCAACCATGATCACGCGGAAGCCAAGGTGACGAGGAAACATGTAGGTAAGCTCATCATAGTCCCCAGGGCGAGTGAGAAATGTTTCCACGTGGGAAGCACCAACCACATGCACTGTACTGCCCCCAGCCTTCCCAACATCTATCCCCAAGGCCTGAAGTCCCAGACCCATTGTCAAGGGTCGTGACAAGGCATCTGTCAGTAGCCGTTTCAAAGAGTCCCGCAGAACATCTGAAGCTGGCCTTGGATGTCTGACACTGGCCCACAGGGTGGTCATGGCAGGACTACTTAGCAAAGCATCTAGGGTAGCATCTAGCTGTAATGCCCGCATAGAAAACCAGCTGTCCCAGCCCTGTACAACTTCAGCCGACCGTGGCCAAGGTCCTGAGGGCAGGACAAAATCACCTGCAGGAAAGAAAGAACAAGAAAAGTTCTCTGATTTTCAAATTCCCTTCTCAGTAATAATCATTATTCTGTCCATGTTCATTCCCCCAACCTGGGACCAGGAGTGCCTTCGTACCCTGCCTCAGTTCATTAACAACATGCTTTCATGATCTTTGCCTTAGTTTGGTCACTATGGCAGTGTTCCCTAGGACCACCACTCCACCTGTAACCAGAAGCCATTCCATGAGACGGTCCACAGCCACAAGACGCAGCTCTTGACAGACCTTTTTGTGCGCTGGCCAGTCTGACCTCTGGCACTCTGGGCCACAGTAATAGACATTTCTGCACCTGAGAGGATGAACCATAGAAACAAGTATTCCTATACCATAAAGGTGACTCAAGAATGTCTAGAAAGGAGAGGCGTAACATCTGAGGTTCCAAATTTGGGGACTATGGATTTTGGGGGCCAGAGGGAGGCAGAAGCAATTGGGAAGGTAATTTTTCTCTTTGGACAGAGTGACACCTCAGTCTCTATCTATAACAACTCAATGTTCACATCTCTTTAAGAGAAGAAAGAAAACAAACTAACACTGGGACCGTGTGGCTGACCTCTCATCACAGGTATGACCCTTGGCCCTCATCCTTCCCAGAACAGGTGTTATTTCTTACCCTTTGGGTACTAGAGAGGAAGGCGGTAAAGATATTCTCCGTCTCACCTCCCTATATTACCAAACATAAGCAGGAACCTGTCCCTGTCCTAATTTCTCTGTTGTCTGGAGCATATATTGAGTTGTTGTTGTTGCTTTGTGCCGTGGAGTCGGTTCAGACTCACAGTGACCCTGTACAGGGTTTCCAAGGCTGTAAATCTTTACAGCAGCAGAACACTTCATCTTTCTCCCACAGAACTGCTGGTAGTTTTGAACTGCTGACCTTGCTTGCGGTTCACAGCCCGATTCATAACCACTTACGCTACCAGGCTACCAGAGCTCCTTATATATTGAATACTGGATCCTATACTGAAAACTCTAACCTTCTCTCTAGAAATGAGGGTTTAGACTAGCGTCATTTCTGGATGGCCCTTCCTTATCCCCACAAGTCACCTCTTGCAGCATCGGAGGACTCTGGAGTCTGAAAGATCACTAGGAAGGGCTCTACATTGAGCACAGAATCGAAATGTGTCCTCCATCTTCTGGAACATTTCTTGAGGACAATGAAATCGAAAGGCTGATACAGGGGTACCCCCATCTATCACCAACCTGCAGACACAGTGGAAATAGAGAAAGGGGCATCTATAAAATCTCTCATGCCCCCTACCTAGCCTCCTACACAATTCCCCCTCCCATGCCCCCTAATCCTACCATGAGTCTTCAACTAAATAAGTTATATTTCTCATGTTATAAAACTGGCAAAAGTCAGGAGGAAAGTCCTTATTATAAATATACCACAGTTGTCAAATCTTACTCCTTCTCCACCTTCTGAAATCACTTCTATCAGATATAACATAGCTTTCTTCCACAAAGCTGAACACTCACTTGTATTCTTCATAGCTTTTCATGTTCAGCTTTTGAAGGATCAGCTGGGATAGACCAGGAACATTTTTCTCCAAAGAGCAGAAGCCAAGTGCATCAATGCTAGGGTCAGGTTTTGAGAGGGTCAGAGGCACAGGGGTCACAACCTTGGGTTCCACCGATGAGGGGGGTTTCTTGTGCTTCCGTCGCTGGGACCGTGGAGCCATGGCCTGTCCACTGATAGCCGAGGACTATATGTAGAACAAATACGAATGGACTTTTGCAAGCTGGACACATATAATATGTGCTCATATGTTAGAACTGACCTTTCAGGTCTCATTTCAGTCTCTCAGGTCCAAGCCCTTCTCAGGTATCAGTAAGATTTATTTAGTATCTATTTATTATTGGCTACCATAAAGCAGTTGTGGCAAATAGAGGAGAAATGGATACATATGAATATAATTTACACAGGGGTGTGACTGTCACGTATTAAATTCTGCATATAATGAACTTATTAACGTTGTAAATGCATAGAAAAAGGTCTAGCAGAGCTTATTTAAAACTGGAGCTCTGGTAGCGCAGTGGTTACGAATTGGGCTGTGAGCCGCAAGTTCAGCAGTTTGAAACTACCAGCTGTACCACGGGAGAAAAACGAGGCTTTCTGCTCCCATAAAGATTTCCAGCCTCGAAAACCCTGTACAGGGTTGCTATGAGTCGGAACCGACTCCACGGCACATAACAACAACAACAACAACAACAACAAACATTGATTAACTCTGGGAAGAGGAAGAAGGCACTGGGATGGCGGCTGGATTGACCAAAGGGTATTTTAAACTCATCTGTAATGTTTGGCTTTTTAAAATAAAATGACTATGTTCATATATTATTAGTGTAGTTTTAAAATCAACTTAAAAGGGAAGAAAAAAGCAACAGAAAATGTTCTTTTAAACTACTATATAATTGGGTGATTGGCAAGTTTAATCTAGTTGGGGAAAAAAAAACATTCATTGTAAAGGACCGAGCATCATATTTATAAGCAATAAACATAGAGGTATGAACTAAATGCGACATAGTACACGATGCTGACAGTGTGTAGTAAAAACAAATTAAATTAAAGATCTCTTAAAAGGCATCTTTTGAAACAGAACTGAGCCCACACCTACCCGTGACCTAGCTGGGACTCTGTGATGTCTTCCTTCCCTGTCCGTTTCCCCTTCCCCCCCTCCCAAATTCATCCACAAGGACTGAGTAGACAAAAGGGATCATGTTGGGAAAAGTACCAAAAACATTAATTCATTCAATTAATATTTATTGATATAGAAATTATTTACAAAATGATTGCTTCCTTATAAGGAAACAAATATCTAAAAAAAAAAAATCATCGAAATTTCTGGTAGGGGGATTAGATATAAACTATTGTTGTTAAGTGCTGTCGAGTTGATTCCGACCCATAGCAACCCTGTACAGGGTTTCCGAGGCTGTAAATCTTTACGGGAGCAGAAAGCTTCATCTTTCTCCCACGGAGCAGCTGGTAGTTTTGAACTGCTGACCTTAAGGTTTGCAGCCTGATTCATAACCACTGTGCTACCAGAGCTCCTTAGATATAATATAGTACTGTATAGTTTATATCTTAGTGGTTAATCCTGTAAGAAAAGGAAAGTAAAACCAAAGCAACTAATGGGAGATCAGAAGGAAGTTTACCTTTAGTAGGTGAACTACAGAAAGCCTTCAGGAAGTAGGTAGCATCCAAAATAGGCCTTAAAAGATAAGAATAAGTTTTAAAAAACATGGAGATGTGAGGGAAAGGAATTCCAAGAAGAAGGAAGGGTATAAGCAAAGAAAAGTAGATGGAAATCTTCTGGAAATGAATGAAATAGAATGTTCTGAGTGTGATTGTTAAATCTAATCCATATCCTGTTACTGTTAATTCGATCCTCACTCTCTAGGACCCTAGAGGGCACAGGAGAACTGTCCCAGAGGGTTTCCAAGGCTGTCCTCTTCACAGATGCAGATTGCTCCACCTTTCTTTCATGGAGCAAGCTGGTGTCTTTGAACAATGATCTTTCAGTTAGCAGTTGAATGCTTAAACACTGTCCCACCAGGGCTCCATTGTTAACTCTAAGGAAGACATAAAAGGTATGCTGGGATATAAGGTTAACAAGGTACATTAAGATTGGATACAACCTTAAGAAGGACTTTAGACTTTCTTTAGTAAACAGAGGGACTCTAATTCAGACTTCTGAGTTGAAAGCAATGCAATTGAAAGGCTTGTAGAAGAATGTACCTATTAGCAATATACAGAATTGGAGATGAGATGTACAAGAAGAAACTGAATAAAAGGTGATACAACAGAACATGTAAGAAGTAATAGAAAAATGGAAAATAAATGTTGGTGAGGATGTGAAGAAACCATTGCTACTGGTTGAAATGCAAAATGGTGCAGCTACTATAGAGAACAGTTTGACGGTTCTTCAAAAAGTTGAATATAGAATTACTGTAAGACTCACCTATCCCACTTCTAGGTACATACCCCCGAAGAACTGAAGACAGGTACTCTAAGTAGACATAAGCACTTGCATGTTTGGAGTCCTGGTGTGGGGCTGTAGGGTAAATGCCAGCCCATAAAGTCAGTTTGAGCCGCAGGTCGGTAGTTCAAATCCACCTGACCAGCCACTTTTCAGAAACCTTATACAGCATCACTATAAGTCAGACCAATAGATCCATTTGGAAGAAGTGCAGCCAAAGTGCTCCTTGGAGGCCAATATGGCCAAACTTCGTCTCTCATACTTCGGACATATTGTCAGGAGGGACCAGTCGCTCCAGAAGGATCTCATGTTTGGTAAGGTGGAGGGTCAGAGAAAAAGAGGAAGACCCCCAGCGAGATGGATTGGCCAAGTGGCAGCATCGATGGATTCAAGCGTGGCAACAGTAGTGAGGTTGGCCCAGGATTGGGCAGTGTTTCGTTGTGCTGTGCATAAGGTTGTTATGGGTCGGCACTGACTCGAGGGCACCTAACAACAACAACAAGTCAGACAGCACTTGACAACAACATGCATGTTTATAGTTGCACCATTCACAATAGCCAAAAGATAGTAACAGCCCAATTGTCCATTGTTGTTGTTACTGTTAGGTGCTGTAGAGTTGGTTCTGATCTGACTCATAGTGACTGTATAGAGTTTCCGAGGAGAGGCTGGTGAGTTTGAGTCATTGACCTTGTGTTTCACAGCTGAGTGCTGATCTACGGCACCACACCAGAAGTCCATCAGCAGATGAATAAACGAACTGTGGGATACCCATACAATAGAATATTTTTCAGCCATAATAAGGAATAAAGTGCTGACACATGCTATAATGTAAATAGATCACAAAATGTTAAGCTAAATGAAAAGGTATAAAGTATAAAACACCACAAAATTGTATGATTCCATTTCTATGAAACATCTAGAATTGGTAGATCCATGGAGACAGCAAGGACATTGGGGGTTAAAAGGAGCTGGGGGTGGGGATGGGGACTGACTGCTTGATGGGTTCAGGGTTTTATTTTGAGATGATGAAAATGCTTTGAATCTGACTGAGGTGGTGGGTGCACAACACTGAATATACTAATTGCTACTGAAATGTTTACGTTTAAATAGTTAATATTATGGACACCACTATGACCTCATACCTCATTCGGATGGTTTGTTTTTGTGTGTCTTGTTTTGTTGTTGTTGTTGCTAAGTGTTGCCAAGTCAGTTCCGACTTATGGTGGTTGTGGCTACGTGCCGTGGAGTGACTCATAGTAACCCTGCATAGGGTTTCCAGTAAATCTTTATGGGAGCAGTAAGCCTCCTCTTTCTCCCACGGAACCGCTGGTACTTTCGAACTGCTGACCTTGAGCAGCCCAATTGGTAACCACTGTGCTACCAGAGCTCCGACTTACAGCAACTCTGTATAGGGTTTACAAGGAGTAACTAGTGGGTTTGAACCGCCAACCACATTGTGGTTCCCAGTTCAGTGCTGATCCTACACCACTACGCCAGAAGTCCTTGTCTTATGACTTAAAAGGTTAATGTGTGGCACTGTAGAATAAGCATGGGACTGCTAACCACAAGGTCAGTAGTTCAAACCCAACAGACGCTCCTTGGAAACCCTATACAGGCAGGTTCACTATGAGTCAGAACTGACTCATTGGCATTTAACAACAATTCATAAAAAAAAGTTAATTTTATGATACATGAATTTCACCTCAATAAGGAAAGGCAGGAGGAGGGAGGGAGGAGGATGGAAAAGAAGGAAAGAAGGAAAGAGAGGGGAGGAGATAGAGGAAAAAGAGAAGGGAGAAGAATAGGGTGGGAGGGGAGTAGATAGAAGAGGGGCGGAAGGAAGGGAGGGAGGGGAGAAGGGAAAGGGAAAGGTATAGAGGGAAAGAGAAGCAGAGAGGACAGCAGTGAGAAGAGATAGAAGAAAAGAAGAGAGGAAGGTAGGAGAAGGGGAGAAAAGAGAACTGGAAGAAGGTCTATAAAGACTGAGAAGCTGAAAAAGTATCAACCTCCAAATTAACTCCTCCAGGGACAGGGAAATGATAGAAAATAAAAAAGCGGATGGGATGGTTCTTTTAGAGAGGTAGCTTTTTAAAGTTCGGATCAGGGATGATGTCTTACTATAAAAATGTTGAGGCTTTTGCTCCTTCTGGATTAGATCTGTTAGGTCATACAGAAAAATTCCAGATTCATTATTTAGCTGAAGTGTAGATGGCAAAACAAAACCAAACCACCCAAAATCATCCCGCTCATGTACATACTTTACAATGCAGCCCTTGCAAACCCCTGCTCTCAGGTTAACGGAAGAACTATTTTTTCATTTTCCATTGTACTCTCTCCTCATCCAGATGTTTCTAGTCTTTTAATCTCTGCCTTCTTCTCAAAGGTGAATGAATGGATTGAGTCCACAGAAAAGAGATAGCTGAGTTCATCTGCATACTGTATCTGCTTCATTCCTACCAATGAAGAAACAGGGTCTAATGACGTTACATTATTTTAGGGCTTAAGGATTTTCTCTCTTTATTGACGAGAGTGAAATTACCCTCCACACCTTGGCAACACATTCCCAACAAGTGACCTGACGCTTCCCTCCACTGTTAACGTATACTCTTATTACATTTCCAGAATTGTTACAACTCTAGAAAAAAATCATTTATCTGCTCTATCCATTCACCTTCGGGCAGGATAATATTTTCTTAATCCTT